CCATTATCTTATTTTTTAACCTGTTTAATAACCCACCACTTTACAATTTTCTGGACTCCATATCTTTGGGATTATCAATCAGTTTCTTGAGACTTAACAGTGGGGAAAAGCTGCTTATCTTTGGGTCATGATGGGTCAAGAGTGTTAGGTAATTTGCCATTGTCACAGTATTGACCTCTGATATCATTGGTTCATGTTTTTGACTAGGGATATAAATTTACTTTTCAGGCACGGATAGGAATCAATTCTTCCTCATTTACAAGCAAGCATTAAAGAATGATCTATGCTACTCAGACCAAAGGACTTATGTTAAGAAGTAAATAAGGACGTTCCTTGTCTTTCTGCTAGCCCTGTTATTAGAAAATGGCTTTGCAGACTTATATTTAGACTACATTTTCCTGTCTGTATTTTCCTATTCAAACACTGTAAAATTGAGTGGTTTTAAAAATTTAAACATATGCTACTTATTGGTTGGTACTTGGAAGAGTTACTATTTTTCGAGTCATTCTAATAGTAGAAGTTATAATTTGTATAAATATACAGCTTACTGTTGTATAAAGAAAATTGGTAGACATTAGAAATTGGTATGTTTTTTGAAAAACAGCAAAAAATTGATGAGCGAAAGCAAAACTAACCCTGATGGGCTTTTGTTTTATTTTTTGTAGCACCTTTAACTTGAAAGAAGCCTTGAATTCTATCGGTGTTCAGACGTGTGTTGAGGTTAACAAGACCTTGAAGGAGAGAGGCTTACCTACTCTAAATGCTGAGATTCAAGCTAATCTTCTAGGTCAATTTTCAAGTATTGAAGAGGAGGGCAATCCTATCTGGTCTTTGATTGGTGAGTCCTCATGTTTTGATTGGTTTCTGCTTCAATTCCCATTTCTTTTAATTTTCCAGTATCACCAGTGTTAAGTGTCAGTAAGATCTTAGACTTAAGGTTACCTGCTTCTGGAGCATCAACATTAAAAATATGAGTGAATTATTCGTGTTACAGGTTTGGAAGTGACCCCGTCCTCTGTGAGGCTGGATAGTGAAGTTGGGGACGTTCAGGGCCTTCTATCTTATTACCCAGCTGGAAGATTTTTGATGATAAAATCTCGATGCATTGGACAGCCCAAACCAGTGGGCCGTGTGTTCACAGAAAGGTGTGGGCTCTGCTGTGAACTAGCCCTGCCTGAGCTGAGTCCTGGTCCTCCATCCTCCTTTGGCAGAGCCCAGAGGCTCTGGGGTGCGGGGCAGGATGGGTGACTGATGTCAAGAAAATGAGTAGCTTGGGGTTAAGTTGTATTGCACAGTTGGGAAAATGGAGAACCTATCAGTATAGCACTTTTCTTGTTAGCTGTGTCAAAGAATGTAAATTTATAAAATAGCTTAAGCAAAAAGGGAATGTATTTTTTTTTAAGGATTTAGTTATTTATGCATGCAGAACTGGGGTACAGGCCAGAGGTGCAGGGGCAGTGAAAGGATTCACCAGAGACAGAGTGGGGAGCAGAACAGGCCGCTTGATGAAGTACACTGCTGAGGGGAGCAGCGGGCGGGTCAGGAGAGGTCTGCTGTGCCGTGTGGGTCACCTCCGGGGCCAGAGCTCGAACTTGCACTGAGGCAGCTGCGGCCAGCTGGCAGTGCTGTGTCCTAACCCATTGTGCTACCAGGAAGGGCCAGGAATGTATTTGTCACACAGCTGAAAGAGTGGGCCAGACTGGCTGCAGGACAGCTTGTAAGAGCTCTGGTGGCCCTGTGTCGGTCCCCCTGCTGTGGCGGGCTGCCACCTTCCCACGAAAGCAGGACAGCTTTGGCCTGTGTCTCTGCGTGTTTCAGCCAGATGAAAAATAAGCAGTGAGCTTCCCCTGTTAGCCTAATTAGTGACCCCAAAATCTGAGTGTTTTGACTCAAGCCAATAGGTCTCGAATCTGTGGTGTGACCAGAGAGAAAGGAACTTCAGCCTGGGCATTATGTTCAGTTCCTGTAGCCAGGGTGAGTCGGCCTGATCTCTAACCCCTGGACTGAGAGTAGGGGACACTGGTCTCCCCCACACAAAACCAAGGCAGTGCGAAGGGGAGAGGGGAGTGGGGCACAAAGCGAGTGTCTCCTGCAGAGACTTCTGCGGAGGGTGAGGAATAATGTCTAGAGGGAGGAAAAGAGTGTCACCTACAATTGGAATTCAAGATAATTAGAATATACCAGCGTGCTGAAACTAACCTGCAAGTTTCCTGACTCCCTCAGAATACAAACAATTAGTATTTGAGGCTGTCAAATGGTTTCTCTCATCTGTATCCCCGAGGACATGGAATATGGAGATCTAGGCCACTGCAGGCCACCTAATAGCGCAGAACTTGAGCTCCTCCCCGGAAAGGAGCCTGTGGCCGGCAGCCCGCAGGACTCTGCAGAGAGGTGCCGCTTGCTAACAGGAACAGTGTCACCTCCGCCCAGTGGCTGATCCCTTCCCTGTTGGCTGATGTGCACCTGTTCCCCCACTCCCCACTCCCCCCAGCCTGCAGTGTCCTCAGAGGAGAGGGGCAGGGGGCAGGCTGTTGTGGTCACTGCCACACTGCTAGACCTCCCCAGCCTGCAGGCCTGCTAGGACGGTGATGCTTGTTCACTCCTAGACCCAAGTACCCTCTCTGGCCAAGGGTGACATTCAACAAGCCCGGAGTGAAAGAATGCGTTAGGAAGTCACAGCGGCCAGAAAACTCTGCCCTGAGGTCACGTACCTATCCAGTTGCAGAGTAGAGAGTCCTGTCGAGCCTGTTTGGAGCTCAGTTTCTTTCCTTCTTTTTTTCTTTTTACATCATTTTGTGCATGTTTTCATCCCAGTTGTAACCCCCATGGGCTTCCCATCAGTTTCTTTTTTTAACTTCCAAAACTGATGTGGACAAAAGCATATGGAAGATAATTATATTGAGACATTGCTTCCTGTCTGTTGTCTACAGTTACTATTTCTTTTCACTGCACTAGCATCACTGCTTTTGCCTGCCAACCTCAGCTCGTGCAGTCCTCCCCGGGGCTCCCTTTCTGAAACGTTAGGTTTTTCTTCCTAAAGCGTACATCCTTGGGAACCTGAGCTATTCCTCCAGGTGGCTGGCCCAAGTTCTACAGTTCGGATCTGGCGTTTCTCCCAGATGCTAATCAGAGCTTTCTAACAGTTGGCTATGCTGGCGGAGTAAGGCTGTGTAACAAAGAGCCCCCAGGCCCAGGAGCTTCACAACAGCAAGTTCTTTTTCTCTCCCTCTTGCCTCTCAGCAGCTAGGGCAGCTTTGCCGCTCAGGAAGTGAACTGGGCTCAGGGCCTCTCCCATGTCTCCTTCCTGGCCTAGGCTCAGCGGAGCTCAGAAGCTGGGTTACTCCGGCCTGCAGCAGCCATATGGAGCACCCTGCTTGTCGTGGGGTGGCCAGCAAGTCTGGGTGTCCTCTGTGCCTTTGCTTTAGGTGGGGATGCACCTGCAGTGTCAGGAGGAGGGGGACCCTGGGCCAGAGATAGGCTCTGAAAACCAGAGAAAGCGAGTTTTTTCCACCCAGCTCTCCGCAGCTCAGTTTTACTCTCCTTTTGCAAGTTGGAAACACTTAAAAACCTCTTTTAAAGTACTGTTGCCTGGTAACTCAAATGACTCACTTAGAGCGTCTCTCCTACTGTTGGGAGCCAGGGCACGCCTTCAGCGGGGACTTGGCGTGGAGGCTCCGATCTGGACAAATGCTTTGGTCACTTGAGTCTTGGCCTGCAAACTGACTTGTCCCCGGAGGAGACAGAACCACTTGGCAGCATAATAGCAGTTTTCGGAGAGTTCCATTCTTTACACAGTCTTACAGGAAGGTGGACCATATCTGTGCTGAAAACAGCTGGGCTCCCAAGAGCCAGGCAGCCACTCTAGGGAAACTCAGTGTACAGTTGGTGTGTAACTTCTTTTTTTGTTTGTTTTTAAGATTTATTTATTTATACATACAGAAGCGGGGTACAGGCCAGAGGTGCAGGGGCAGTGAGAGGATTCCCTAGAGTCAGAGTGGGGAACAGAATAGGCAGATCGACAAAGTGCACTGCTGAGGGAAGTAGCGGGAGGCCAGGAGAGGTCTGTTGTGCCATGTGGGTCACCTCCCGGGTCGGGGATCGAACTTGCCCTGAAGCGGCTGTGGGGAGCTTGCAGTGCTGTGTCCTAACCTATTGCACCACCAGGGTGGGCTCCTGGATTCTGTATTGGCCAAGGCAGGTGGTGAGGCCAGCCCCAACGCACGGCACAGGGAAACAGAGTCCAGCCTTTGATGGGGAGAAGTGTGAAACCGCCTTTAAAGGGCATGGAGAGAGGGAGGGCGTCTAATTGGGAATATTATTGCATTTCACTTACTGCAGTTTCTGTTCTCATTTTCTGAAGTGATGCGCTTTCATAATGGGACAGATAAAGCTATCTTCTTTTCTCCCCAGATAAACGCATCCAGCTGTACATGAAAAGTGTCCTTTGTCTTCCAAGCCCTCAAAAATGCATGCCTCCCATGCCCGGAGGCCTTGCCGTCATCCAGCAGGAGCTAGAAGTGCTAGGCTCTCAGTACGCAAACATTGTGAACCTCAACAAACAAGTATATGGACCATTTTATGCAAATATACTTCGAAAGCTGCTGTTCGGTGAGGAAGCCTTGGAGAAGGCAGACACTTCCTCTTCGGGGAACTAAAGAGGAACTGACATTGACCCCGAGGCTGGGAACCCGGCGCTTCAGGACAGGCTGTCCCATCGCTGCAGCTCAGACGTGGCAGCCGCAGCCCTGTGGTGGTGCAGCCCAAGTCTGTGTGAGCCAGTACCATTTGCATTACACAAGCCAAGCACATGCTATCAGCCCTATTTCTGCGTCGTTTTCGAGGTCAAAAATGGCATTTAGTGGACAGAGAGCAATTTGTACTTAATTATCTACATAATACTTATAAATGTTTTCTTATGCACTTATGTATCTCACTTATTCCTTCAACCTTTAAAGAGTTGTATTTCCTCACTTGTTCCTTTCACATCTAATCATCTTTGGTTTTGATACAACTTCTTAAAGGGCTGAAAGCTGTGAGATTAACTAAGGGGATGACTGTCCTGAATTAGATGGTGTGACATAAGCATAATTTTGTTTGAAATGTACAATGAAATTTTATTATGGTGTGACGCACATTATAAGTCCTCATTCAAAGATGTACTCAATCATATTTTATAATACCAAGGGCCAGTGTTTAGAATTTTTTAATGTACTAGGTACATTTAAAACTATATGCAAAATTTAGATAAAACCTCCCTGTTCATTTAATGAAATTAGAAACAGATCCCTTCTAGAATTTTATTCTAGAGAATGATTTCTTTATGCACCTTAACCTGCTCACCAAGAGAAACAATTTTTACACACATCTCTGAGTGAATTTCTCAGGCCATTAATAAAGTTTTTAAGAGATTTTTAAATATTTTATGTAAACAGGCAGGACTGGTTTGTATGGTTTAGTTGTAAGATGGGAAGGTAATGATAACTTGAGGGCCCCAGGAGATCCCTGTTCTCAGTGAAGTTCACATCTGAAAAAGAGACAGACTCTGACATCTTTAAGCATATAAGTTAACAGCAAATGCATTCTGTGCTGATTAAATTCTTACCCTGCTGTGACCACGTTGCTTTCCTGAATGTCCTCGTGATTTGCCATTCTTGAGTATTAAATCTAACTCCACCAAGCTGGTGTTGGTTGTTATGGAAACTTAGAGAAACCTGCTTCACCTCGAATTGTGTGTCTTCTGAAGTGTTAAGAGAAGCACTACAATTTGGTGGACAATTTGGTCTAGAAAGTGCTTTATGTGAACAATAATTTCCGTTGTTTTCTAAGGACGCATTGAACTTTAGTTTGGTGGGGAGGGGTGGGGAAGTGGAAGGAGTATTTCTTCCTTCCTGCCTCTTTTCCTTGCCACGCCCTTCACCATGATGGTGCTACTCAATTGTTTGATAGTGCTAGGAAAGGATTATACAGATCAAATATCTGCAATCTTCACATTTTGGAGGCTTTGCCAAAACTTGAGGAAACTGCAAGTCCACTCTTTTCCACAGTGACTCACACCTAATACATTTTGCCACTCTTGAGCCACTGTGTGTGAGAGGCATTAAACAAAGAGCACTAGATCTCCCCACTTTTTCCTCTTCTTGTATTTCTGTCTTTTGCATGTTTTCCTGTGCTTAGGAATCTTAAGGTACTGAAGGTTTTTGCTTTCTTCTTCTCTTTAATTGAAGTCATTTCCAGCTACCTTTACCTTGGGGGCCACAGAGGACAGGGAGGGGCTGACGTCAAAAAGTAACGTGTAGCCTGGCTTCTTGTTGCTTCTGAGGGGACCCAGACGCTTAACAGGATTACCAGATAGTAGTGGCTTCCCATTATCAGCTTGGAATCCGGCTGGCATACAAACAGAATCGATCACACTGAGCTGCCAACAGGAAAACAATGTCTAAACCTTTAATTTTTAATGAAGGGCATTCTGCTTTTTTATTTTTTTTTTGAAGTGACAAAATAAATCTCAATGTCTCAAGTCTGGAGTTAGGCAACTACATTTATAAGATTTTAAACTCATATCCCTTAGCATGTTTATTTCATTTTCTCTAAATGTTTACTTCTACTTTTGAGGTTTTCTTAACATGGTCTTGTTTTGTAATGTCAATTTTAATAAATATCATAAATACATTTGCTTTCTGCTAAAAAATGTATTATCTCTACTGGGGAAAATTTAAAACTCATGTCAAGATAGCCATTGTCTAAACCACCTTTGGGTAGCTTGGTGCCACAGTCTTGTACAGTCTTCACTGTACTTGTTCTAGAATGATTCTTCTGTGGATCATCAGAGCCTGACAGACATCAGGTCCTGCTCATTCATTCAATCAACAAACATTTACTGAGCATGTACTATGTGGACCCTAGGTCTTGTGATGCTCACATGACTGAACGCGGTCTTCAAAAAGTTCATGACCTGGTAAGGAGGACAAACTTATAAACAATGACAGTGTAATGGAATAAAACAGGAACAGATTTTCCCTATTATCTGAAAGAAGAATGTTTCTATTTCCTATGTCTTGATAGGTTTTTTGTTGTTATTTGTTTTGGGGGGGAAAGGTTGGGTGGGAGGTGTCTGGGAATATTCAGACTTTTCCCCATATAAATTAATAGCAATATCCAGTCCCCAAAGTGATTTAATGTACCAGATCATACCCAATAGGAAAGTTCTACTTTCAGATAGTGGGGGAAACCGGCACACAAATGCTAGAGGAAAACATAAACATTTTATGGAGATCATTCTTGAGTTTAAATATGAAGGGAACACAGGAACTCCCAAGAGGCCGTGCGCCATGAACACAGTGGTGTGTAGACGGTGAGTCTGGGAACCAGCGGCCGATGGTCCACAAGTGAAAGTGATGGGAGGTAGAACAAAGTAAAAAGGGTCTGAAATGTTTGCTGAAAAGTGGTGGTTGGTTTTTTGCCCCTGAAAGGGTCATGAAGCTATGAGATGGGAGAAGGGTGTGAACAAATTACAGGTTGGAAAAGTTGCCTGGACTAAAGCTCTAGCCGGTGGTGCTAGACTCGTCCTGTATGAGGCGTGTGTTTGCACACATTCACACGTGAACATCCGGGTGTGGGTGAAATAGAAAGGGACTTTACTGGGTAGATAATTAAATACAGAATCTTTGTCATCTGGGGCCCTCCCTGGTGGTGCAATGGTTTACAGCGCAGCACTACAAACTGGCTGCCACTTGAGCGTGAGTTTGATCCCCTGCCAGCCGGGGTTGACACGGGGTGCAGCAGGCCTCCCCTGTCTTGCCCGTTGCTGCCCTCAGCAGTGTGTTTCAGTAGATCCTCCTATTCTGCTCCCCACTCTGTCTCTGGTGAATCATCTCTCCACCCTTGCAACTCTGGGCTGTGCCCCAGTTCTGTATGCATAAATAAGTAAATCTTAAAAAAAAAAAAAAGTATCTAATCTGATAGGAGCCAGAGCAGGGAAAGCTGCTGGATGACAGCTGGGCTGCAGTCAGTGCTAATGCTTCAGCATGAAGTCACAATTCCCTGCTGCTTTGCTTCACTCGCTCAGGAGCTAAAGCCCCAGGCAATACACTCAGTGGAAAAGACCTAGGTCAGGAATCCAGGTTCTAATTCACGATGAGACCAGGATGAAGATGACCCTTAGACTCCCATGGTCCCCCCAACATCCTCCAACAAGGGATTCCCCCCAAACAAAGATAAGCTGAGGAACAGAAGTTAAACAAATGCACTTATAAGATAAATCGAGGTCTTTGAAATTTGAATGTGAAAATGCCCATCACTGCCTCTGAGAATGAGGATAAAAGGGGATTCAAGGAAGAGCATAGTTGTGTGAAATTAAACATCATTGGTGGATGTAGATCAGCCACTGAAGAGAGTGCCCCCAGGGCCTTGGAAACCTTATTTTTCAAATTACAGTTCAAGGTAGCAGGTAGCTTGGGAATGGTGGTTACATCATTCATACATTAAGAGACCCAATTTCCACCTGTCAGGTGAGTCAGTTACCCTCAGATCTTCAGAGTCTTCATTCACTCAGGAGATGGGAAAATAGCCCAGTGGCCAAAACTGGATTGTGGCCTCATCTACCTGAGGGAGGCTGCAGTTGTGCCCAGAAGAATGAGGTTGCTGTGGCTATTGGTGAGCGTTAGCAATCTCCCCTGAAGATGCACTCCAAACCTTCCTTGTATGAAAACAGGTTTAAAATCGTGTGCCTGCTCTGATCATTGGGTAGAAGCTCCCTAGAGCAGGGGTTGAGAGGATTTTGGAGCTGGGTCTTGGATAAGCAGTAAAGGATTCTGTGACTGATCGGAACATTTACCTCGGACATGGGGAGGGCCCCCTGGCACATTTTTACTTCTACACTTGAACCTCCTTGAAACGAAAGTTCAGCCTGTTGTACCTCTGAGGAAGTTAAGCTGCAACAATTTTCCACTTGTTTAGTAAACATAGCATGGGACTGAGAGTTCACCCCTGCTACTTAGTAGTTGTGGGAACCCACAACCATCTTTTAATCCCCCTATGTCTTCATTTCCTTCCATACCTGCTCACCCCACTTTCTATTGCCTCACTGGGATAATGTGATAATCCAATGAGATAATGTGTTTGAAATTGTGTGCAAATTCCAAAGCACAATGTAGCTGGAATACATCCTAAGAACTAATTTATTAGTCCTGAATCTCTTTCAAGCTCCAAGAGTTTTTATTATTGGGAGATGTGGTGATCAAGTACTTAAACACACCCGAACAGAAATTGTCATATCTCATCAGTACCATGGTTCGTTAAGTCCGGTATTGTCATTGACAGAGACACACAAGGGTATAGAAGGCAGCTGCTGCTGTCCTTGCTGTCAACCTCAAAGGGCAGTGACAAAATCCAGTAAGTTCCAATTGCATTTAGTGTTCAATTGTGACTTTATCCCCCTACCCCATGATTTAACCCTTTAGAAAATATATTTGCAGATCAACTTGTATACTTTTGTTGTGTACTTTTGAAATGAAGCTTATCTTTTCATGTCTAAGCTTACCATGTTAACCTCTTTCATCAAGAGAAAGGGATTGAGGGGCTGATGGTAAAGCTTTTTTTTTTTAAAAAAAATATTTTTATTCATATAAAACTGGGTCAGAGTTGCAGTGTGTGAGAGGATTGACCAGACAGAGTGGGGAGCAGAACAGGCAGACTGACGAAGTACACTGCTGAGAGGAGCAGCGGGCACCACCTCGGGAGAGATCTGCTGCGCCAGGTGGGTCAGCTCCCTGGCCAGGGATCAAACTCATACTGCAGGAGCTGCAGATAGCTTCATAGTGCTGCACATTTACCTGTTGCACCACCAGGGAGGGCCCAATGGTAAGGTTTTATGAAGAAGGGAAATCCAGGAAACTGTCCAGAGTTATACCTGCAGGCTTGGTGGGGCAACTAAATACACTTGTTTTCTTCCAGAGTAGACTTAAGTGATAGTAACAAATAGTAATGGCCACAAACAGTCGCCGTTTGAGAAGAGTATGCACTCACATAAATGTTCTCCATGACTACAACAATCTGTAAGGCAGCTATGGTGTCACTTCTGTGGGTATTACAATGAAACTCAAGCTAAGGACGTTGTCCGTGAGCACAGAGCTGGGGGTTGGAACCCAGGAGTCTAACTCCGGAACGTGCCCTGAACTGGCTGCCATGTTGGTTTGCAGAGGTCAGCCAAACAGTGTTTCTCGCTGTTGTGCTATTACCAAGTGCTGCCTTGATATTTATGCCTCTGCTCCTCTGCTGTTGTTTTCCGTCGCTGCCCTCCCCTTGGCGTGTGTGGATGACAGGCATCCCAAGCAAAGAATGAAAATGGGTCCACTTGCTGCTTGTGGGCATGGGGCCCTCGCTGCCTATCCACCACATTGGGTCAGGTTCTCAGGTCAGGACACCTCTGCTCCCCAGTGTGGATGTCTGGCAAGTTCATGGCCCGACCAGCGTTGCATTTCTTTCAGATCCCAGCTCCACCCTACTCAGTCAGACAGTGGCGGTTGTTTCCACAAGCTCACCAAGTGACTCAGATGCAGGCTAGAGAAACACTGCGGTCGTGGAAAGCCAACTCTGAGATCTCTATCACTGAAAAAACGACTGTCAGGTATTCAGTAAATTTATTTTTTCACACAATATGCACCATTTCAGGCTGAAACAAATTCAGTCGTGTGGCTCATTTGTCACCCTTTTCTTCGTTTTTTATGCTTCCATCTTAATCTTGGGATTGGGACAATTATCAATCAAGTTGGGGGCTGGATCACTCAGGCGGGACCTCTGACTGCCACCAGGAGGCGCAGTTTCCCAAGAGCGGCTCAGTCACATCCGGGTTCCATCGCAGGATAGGACAAGGAGCAGGCGGAACCTTTCTACTGCGGCTCCAATTAACCTGCGCAGTGCGGGCCATTTAGGCCTCTGCGCACCGTTCTCCACGGGTGCATCGCTTTGCTTGGGCAGGAAAGGCCCGAGTAGGGACTCCGTTTGCCTCCTCCTTTGTCGTGAGCAGCATGAACATGCTTGCAGAAGAGTTTGGGAACCTGACTCCGGAGCAGCTGGTTGCACCGATTCCGACAGTAGAGGTGAGGCGCGGGGCCGCGGGGAGCGGAAGGGGTCGGAACGCGCGCAGAGGAGGCGTTGCGCTGGGAGCCCTCGCCGCGGGGTGGGGGCTCTGCGCGTGCGCAGCATTCCGCGCATGCTCACATCCGGTCCGCGAGCCCGGCCCGGAGCCGCTAGCACGTCTAGGGGCGGGACTCAGAGGAGCTGTCCGCTGCCACGTGGGTGGAGCAGCCCCGCGGACCGCTCTCTGGGTTGGACCCCTTCCGGTGTCCTGGCGTGTCAGGGGCGGTCTGGTCCCTGCGTCACGTTGGGGGTCCCGCGCATCTTTGCGGGTTCTAGGGGACGCTGAGCTCCAGGGAGAGCCCGCCACCTTCTTGAAGTTCCACTACAGACTGCTGCATAACCAAACCGTCGGACTCCTAGGCTAGTAGTTGTCCCATTGGAAGGAGTTCCAGGGTGGGCTTGCAGGGTTGTTTTAAACATCTTGAAATGTTATTCAATTTTTTTGCGGCCATGTTTTCTTTCACCAGGGGCTCAGAAGTTAACTGCCCCATAGTTTTTGTTTTCTGACAACCTGTCTGGGCTCCACACTGGCGTCGACCTGGACTATCATACCCGAAAGGATAGTCAGGGAAGAGATTTCAGGTAGAGAGGACAGCATGCCTGGAATAGGCTAAAACATCTGAAGGTTTTGAGAAACTGAAATAAAACTGGTAGTGCTAGAGTGAAGCAAAATAGAGAAGGTACGAAAAGTGGAAGAATGGGTAAGGTCCTGACTGAGACAGGTTTTGTTAGACATCCGAGGAGCTTGGACTGACTTCTGGGAGGAATGAGAAGCAGAACGACAGGATAAGTCCACCATTTGGACTATAAGAACCTCAGAGTCATTGCCACTTAATGAAGTGGAATTATAATCAGCCCATCAGATTCGACCCACCACCGCCTGCAATACCTATGAGATATAATCAGACAAAACTGGATCTTAATTCTTGAGCTCATACAAAGAGCCAATACTTAATTAATGTCAGTTTCCGTTTAAGCATAACATGCATGACATTATTTAATCCTTCAAAATAAGTGCTATCTTCACCTCCCCTGTTCAGTGAGGAATTTTGAGAGTAGCAAATCCAGTGTCAGGGGGGTTTGATAAATGTCCTATTTGGAATTTGGATGGGGGCTGCCTGACTCCAGAGTCCTCATCCCTAACTGCTAATGGAACTGTTTCTCCAGAGAGTTAAAGAAATAAGCTAAAAGGATATGTATGACTTGCCTGAATTTGCAGGGCATTCAGGAATCCAGCCCACCATCCCATCAGGGAGCCTGCCCTTGAAAAATTCTCAAATCTGAAACTTTATGCAAACCAGTCACCTTTTACTTTTAGGCTCTTGACTTGTTCCACTCCACTATTTTGTGCTCTGTAGCCAAAGCCATCAGTTCAGAAACATACATTTGGTCACAGTGCTTCCTTGGTTAAAGTGTCTTTCTCTCCTCCTGTTGCTTTCAGGGCGGAATCTGCAGGCTTTGGACTGCTTTTGTGGCTCTCCTCAGCTGGGCCTCTTTTTCCTGCTTTCCTATCCTTCCACCTCAGCCTGCTGAGATCTTTTTACTTTGCACAGACAGTTCTACCTGGTGTCTTTCTCTCATTCTTCTTTGTAGATTTGCATAGCATAAAATGCATGGCTATAAAGTGTTCAGTTACATTTGTTAGGTTATACATGAATAACTACGGCCCAAGATTCAGAACACTACCATCACCAGAGTTTGGTGATCATCCTTTTGAGTCTTTCTCTTTCCCCAACCACCTTTTTGACTTCAACCATCATAATTTTGCCTGACTTCCTTTTTTTTTTTAAAAAAAAGAGAGAGATTTATTTATGCATATAGAACTGGGGTACAAGCCAGAGGTATAGGGGAGGTGAGAGGATTCACCAGAGACAGAGTGGGGAGCAGAACAGGCAGATGGACTGAAATACACAGCTGAGGGGAGCAGCGGGTGCGAAACAGGTGTGCTGCACTCTGTGGGTCACCTCCCGGGCGGGGGATTGAACTTGCACTGAAGTGGCTGCGGCTCGCTTGCAGTGCTGCGCTTTAACCCGTTGTGCCCCCAGAGAGGGCCTGACTTCCTTTTAAAAAAGACTTATTTATTGAGAGCAGTTTTTAGCGTTACTGTCTCCCAGGCCTGCTGTGCCCTTATGGCCCTGAAAATACTTCTTGAAAGATATTTTTCACTTCTTCTGCCTCTTCCCGACCACACCTCCATCTCTGTTGTGCATCCTGCTGTTGGTTGTCTCTCAGTGTTGTCTCTCTCATTTCATGGAATCCTTCCTTTCTGCAGCCACATTCTTTAGATGATCTCAGTATTTGCAGAGCTCTTATTCCCATCCTCCCCCTAATCTCTACCTCCAGGCCCAGGCCATCCTCTTTCCATGCTCTGGACTCATAGCTGCTATTTGACAGTTCCACTGAGCATTAAATGGGCATCTCAGATGTAAGCATGGCCCCAACCCAACTCCCTCCGCACCCAGGCCTGCTGCTATAACAGGGTCTGCAACCCCTTCCCCTTCTCCCTGAAGGGAGATGCTCTTCATTTTTCTTTCAGTCTCCATCTCATCTAGCACATCGTGTAGGCTCCGACTTCAGATTGTGTCTCCTAGAATTCATAAATTCCTGCATGATCTTCCTGTTTCTAACCCTGTCTGTCCTCAACTCAGGAGCTAGAGCAGTTCAGTTGAAGTGAACCTTCACGCCCTCACCCTTTTGCTCGCAGCCTCCCAGTGCTGCTACTGTCTGTCGGTTTTCACAGTTGCTGCAAGGCTCTCTGTGGCCCACCGGCCCTTCCTCACACTTGGCGCTCCTCTCTGCTCATGTGGCGATTTCCCACTGGCATATCAGAGCCAGGCATGAGAAGCGGCATATCGTTCTGGGCCACTTACCGTCTCAGGCAGGGGTGAAGGGCAGGCTCAGGAACTGAAGGAGACTGGCACAGCCAGGAGATCAGTGTCGTGCTGTCCCCAGCCTTGAGATGAGCTCTGAGAAGGAACGCGTGAGAAAGGGCTCCTTTTGGGCCACGGAATGCATTTCCCCAAGACACTGAAACTTAGGTTTCCTTTCTCAAACTGACAGCCCCAGCTTACCTAGCAAGAGTATGAAAGTGCCCGTCAAGGAAATTCAAATGATATTCTCTTGGAGAAGTCAGTTTAAAAACATACGTTCACATATACATATACACGTACATGTTTACCAGCAAAGTGGCTGCCATTTAAATTTTTTTTATTTGGATTTTCTCTGTGATAAAATAAGTGATTACTGATACACGAAAATAACTTGTATGGATATTGCAGTTGCCAGCCCAGAGTCCTGATACAGCTGTTGTTTTCATTCACAGGAGAAATGGAGGCTGCTTCCAGCATTCTTGAAGGTAATTGTTTAACCTTTGATACTGTTTAGTTATTTTTTTCAAATAGATCTCAAAATGCATCTCTTTAAAATAAGATTCACTGTTTATCACTGACCAAGATTTTTAGATTTGGCATTTTGCTGGGGTTTGGAGGTACAGGGAGTGCTATGCCCTGCGGGGAGGGGCAGTCCAGCTTCAGAGACAGGAAACAGTAGACATAGGAGCAGCGTGCTGTTGGCAAGAGTGAAGGCAGCGCAGGCGGTCAGAGACGGCCTCCAGCGAGGCGAGATGGAAGCCACATCTTCCAGGAAAGGTGCCTGAGCTGAAAGGCAGGCTGCAAGCGCCTGACCTGGTAAAGCAGCTTGGAAGAAGCCTCCGGTCTGTGGGAACAGCAGTTGGTCTGTTTGGCTAGAATGGGTGTTCGGTAGTCAGAGGAACCGCGCTCATAGAAGGGTTAGCGAGCGTACCCATCCCAGGGGCTCCGCAGGGAGAGAGCCCTTGACACCCCAGGAGGGGTGTCACCAAAAGGAAAAGTGACAGTGTTGTAGGGAAGGGGGAAGGGAAAAGGCGGCCATTGCCACGGGCAGTGAGACAGACTCACCTGGCATCCAGCAACTCAGCCCCTCGGAGTCCACCTGAGAGCAGTGAACACATGCCACACACTTACTCAAGACAGTGTAGTTGTGAGAGCCAAAAGCAGAAACACCTGTGTGACTGTCAGCTGCTTGATGGGTAAACAAAATGGGCCATGGCCATACCATGCAGTAAAGAAAACCAGCTTCCTCCACATCCACAGCGTGGGCGCATCTAGCAAGTGGAGGAGTAGAGAGACTGGAAAAGTGGTAGGGATCTGTCTGACTGAACAAGTCTTCTGTTGTGCATGCATGACAGAAAGTGTCGGGAGGTGAGGCTGGGCAGCTTGGGCCGTGAGGATATTACAGAAGCAACAGAAGAAGGTTTAAGTAGAGCAGAGCCCAAGAATGAAAAAGTGGTGATCAGGTGAGCGGAAGGATTTTTCAAATTACAACTTTTTTAAATAAAGGATTTCCATGTTAGCAGAGATGGGCTGCTATTAAGGCTCAAAGAGCTGGTGGCACATCGTCCCAGAAGAGAGAGGGAACCTAACAGAGAACGTAGGATCACAGTTGTTTCACTCGTTGACTTCACTTTACTCAGGCCACCTTAGATCTGTTTGTTCAAAATAGAAGTATAAAGTACTAGTACTGTGGATGGGAAATGCAATGAGGATGCCTGAATGCAAACTTATACTGAGTAAAATTCAGGGGCATTTGCCTCACTTTGGTTTTGAGAAGAATTGAGTGATCGCCCGAGTCTGACAGCGTTCCGTTTGGTTGCTCAGCCTCATACTCTGTGTTTGTGTAGGTGAAAGGCCTGGTGAAGCAGCACATAGACTCATTCAACTACTTCATCAACGTGGAGGTAAGGTCACACCCGAGACAGACACAGGTAGGCCTTCGTGGGAAGCTGGTTTTCCTGACGCTGCTCTTCTTTCCTCTCAGATAAAGAAGATCATGAAAGCCAACGAGAAGGTCACGAGTGATGCCGACCCTATGTGGTACTTGAAGTAAGGAGCTCAGTCTGCTCTTTTCACGATGTCTCTTGCGTGGCCTTTGAAGTGACGGTAGTTGCTCTCAAAATGCTCCTGAGAGAATTCACTTTCCGTTCAGTAAGATAATTACCAAGTGCTTGATTATGACTGGTAGCCCCATGATAGCAGAGTCATGACTGAGGAGTTCCTGAAACTGGCAGGCTTTACCTATTTCTGAACTTCTTTTGAAATAATTTTAGCCATAGGGAAACTTGCAGAAGTGGGACAGAAAGTTCCCGTGTTCTGTCCTTCACCTGGCGTCCGCTCATATCAACACCTTCCGGACGCTCCAGTGCACAGGTAGCAAAAGCAGGGCACTGGCTTGATCCAGGACTGTGAGCTCATCTAGGTCATGCTGAAGTTTCCCCGCTTTCGGGGTGCAGGATGTCGGGCGTCTGTCTTCTGAGTTTCCTTCAGCGTGTGACAGTCTCTCTGGCTTTCTTGGTGGTGCCTGACCGTGACACTTTCAGAGAATTCGGGCCAGTTGTTTCAGTTCGGGTTTGTCTGATGCTTGCCTGTGACTACACTGGGCTGTGCGCTTGTGGCAGGAACCCACAGCACGCAGGTTCTGGCTTTCAGAGGCGCAGAAACTGACTAGCTTACTAGTTAAGTCCTGGTGGACTGAACTGGGATCACTTGGTTTAAGGGGTATCTTCCAAGTCCCCCCTCACACACAAATTCTTTTATAATTAGTAGGTTCTGGGTATATCATTTGAGACAATGTGAGCCTCTTACTTCTCATCATATTTTACCCACCAATTTTAACTCTTTATTCTGGAGATTCTCCAATGGTGAATTTCTGTTTCCATTGTTCCTTCTACAGCATGTTGGATTCAAACTGTGTGGGTGAACTTTTCTTCCTTCTCTCATCTGATAATTGTATTGATAAGGATTTTATTGATAGGATATAAAATTAATAGTTATACTGATACTAATTTATTCTGTAGGTCAGAATCCAGAACTCTCTTTATTCCTCAAATTTTCCCAAATTTTCTTTGATCATGGGCCATTTTTCAAGTTGACTCCTGGATCCTTTCAATATGCCCCTGTTAATTTTCAGGCATTCCTTAACTTTTGACACCCCTAGGTATGGTCCTTCTGGTATTTTCCCTGTTCTGGTATCAGCCTAGAGTCAGCTGATTTTCCTAAAATCAGCTCTGGCCCCCTTCTTCTTCTTCTTTTTTTTTTTTTTAAGATTTATTTATTTATGTATACAAAGGCCTGAGGGGTGAGAGAATTCACCAGAGACAGAGTGGGGAGCAGAGCAGGCAGATCTACTGAAATAACTGCTGAGGGAGCAGCGGGAAGCCAGGAGAGGTCTGCTGCCCCTGTGGGTCAGTCCCTGGCCAGGGGCGGCACTCGTGCTGCGGTGGCTGCAGTAGCTTCACAGTGCTGCGCTTTAACCCGCTGCATCACCAGGGAGGGCCCTGACTTCGGCCCTTTTTATTGGAGAACATGACTGGAGACCATGGAGATGGGCACTGAAGCTTCAGGGGCTAGCCCAGGAGATAGCTGCTCATGCTGCTGCCTGCGCTCACATCCACGTCAGCAAGCCTGCTTCCTCTGTTTGTACATTTATTTACAAACGTGCACGGGAAGGTCTCTGACTCCAGTCCAGCTCCATAGGACTCAACCTACGTTTCTTTCTTTCCTTTTCATCACATTTGCTCCTGGCAAAGAGTTCATCACCCACACTATTTATGAATTGATTCCATCCCAGGATGTTGAAAGTAGTTTCGGCATTGTTGCTGTGAGAATAGAGTTTACTACTTGGAGTCCAGTGTTTGTGGCCCTCGTTTTCGTATTTATCTTCACAGTATCCACTCAGAATATTGTATGTAGGTCGGTGGCTTCTTGTCCATGTTTCAGTGCCGCTGTGTTACTCATTTGTAATACAGTAAGGTTTGTATTCCATGTTGAGCGCCCCCCAATGATTGATTTTAATTATATATTTTGGGAGTGTGTAAAGCATTATTATAGTTATAAGATTAGTTCGATCTATAGAAGGAAGTATTTTCAGGGAATTGTTGCAGATACCAGTGAAGGTCTTTCATGAAGGCAAAGTGGCATAGGCGAACTTTGGAAAAGGAGGGATACCTAACTATTTCTTTCTCATGTATCTGCTTTGCTCTCATGAACTACAACATGCTATAGATACTCTTTCAGACCTCGCTTTTTTCGTCAAATATCATTTTCAGGAATCTGTATTTCCTATGTTTTTGTAAAGAGATTGGTGGAATTTTTTAAAGATATGTCTACTATTACTTCATGAAGATAACGAGTAATTGTCAATTTGTCTGTCTTCCTCAGTAACATGAGTATTTGTCAAAGCATAATCCTTGGGCATGGAAGGAAAAGGGCCAGTTTGTCTATGTTCTTTGAAGAAGTATAGCCAGTAATGGAATCATTGTTTTCCAGATATCTTAATATTTACGTTGGACTTCCTGATGTTGAAGAAAGCTTCAATGTAACTAGACCAGTGTCTCCTCATGAGGTAATTGTAAACCTTATTATTATTTTTATCTTTATTGAAGTAACGTTAGGTCACAGTCTAGTAGGAGAGATGGATGGGAAGAGAATTGGAAATCCAAGATTTTAACAGAGTATGGTTATAGAAGAAACCTTTTTATTGGCTTTCAGCAGATTCCAGATTTCTCTTTGAATTTCTTCTGATTTTTCTTTGAATTTTAACTGGGATTCGTTCAGGAAAGAGAATGAATTTTAGATCTTGTAGCATTTCATTTAAAGATGGGACTCTCCTGAGAAATGCAGCATGAGGTAACTTCAACATCAGGTGAACATAGTGTAATTCTACAACTTAGCTCATACAGCCTGTTACACACCATGAGTGGATAGTCAACCCCTAGGGCCCATCACATACGGTCTGTCATTCACCGAAACTTCCTTACGTGAGGCTTGACTGGCTGGTGACTGGAAAGCTAAAATAGAAATTAGGGAAGATACATGTATTAACTACTTATTAAAGAGCAGGTAAGGTGTTAGAGTGTTATGAGTGTTGTCTAAGCCGGAGTAAATAGTTATGCTTTAGATCCAAGCATCTTATGTAGGCAAATTTTGATATTACTTAGAAATCAGTATTGATCATTTATTTTGTGCTTCAGCATGAGAAAAAGAAAGAGCTGTAAAAGGTAGCCTCCACAGGAGAGCGGCTCAGGTGGGGAAGGCATAGTAGCAAAATGCAGGAGACAGACCGGGTCATGGGACCGCAGAGCCTAGAAGGGCCAGGGGGAGAGAGAAAGATGCCAAGTTGGATTGAATAGGAGATGCCCCTGTGTCACTTTCCCATCTTATTTTTCTAGAATGTACCACTTTTTCAAGAACTAATAAGTGTTTTTCAAGTCACCTTCTAACCTGCATTAGTGAGTTCAGGAAGGGAGACGTCAGAGTAGTTTGAAGTGGTCCAAGGAGACTACAGTTCTCATTGTAATTATTCTCCCTAATGTTGAAGAAAACACGTGGGCATTTTTGTAATTAGAGAGATGGGGGGCAGAAATTTCTGGGTGGAACGTTGATGCTTGGAGGGACAGGAGAGGTGGAGCAGGAGTGGGCGGCCACGGGGCTCTCGGCTGGACTGGTGGGGTGCTGGGCCTGCTCTCCCCACACAGCCTGCTCCTGTGATGAGAGGGGAGGCTGGTTCGGGACTAGGGAGTGGTCCCTGCTCTTATCACATCTCTTGAATTTCTTCCCTTTGAAAGAGGAGGTTTGTTGAAACCCACAAATGTTTGCCTGTCATGGGCACTACATTTGTTCTATGACTACAAAAGTGATAATATTCACCTAGTGCTCTGAACAAGACACGTTCAAAACAGATACAGCTGTTCTCTTGTCAGATAAAATTAATTGTGGCTCCATTTGCATACAAGGAGACTGAGCTACAGAAAGGTTCTTTCAGGCTTAATTGGTAGAGCCAGGATTTGAATGCAGGCCAGAGTCCATGCCCTGGACCTCTGCCACACGGCCTTCTGGTCTGATGGGGAAGACTTAATTTAATGACATATAAGGCAATAATTTTTATTAGTCAATAATAGGAATATTTAAATTTTACAGTCCCATGTACTGTTTGACAGTCTAGAATGGGCTAGAACGTAGCTCTTTAGTGCTGCAGAAGCCAGAGAGACGGTCCCGCCTGGAGTCATATGGCAGCTGTTCAGAGAAACTCTCTAGCTGATGCTATGAGCTACCTGGCGACCATCAGTGTAAAGGGGAGGTTGTTGAAGATCCTCACAGGGTTCCCTGTGTCTGATCACAGCTCAGGCTCAGGCAATGCGTCATCTAAAGTATGTCTAAAGTCACATCAACAATTTCTGAAGTTCACAGGTAATTTAGAAATTGTTAGAATGGTGCAATAAAGGATTTGTGCTGTCATAGCACTGGGTAAGGAATTTTGTCATCTAGGGTAGCTTCTTTGGAGAATAAAAGGAAATATGGTTTAAATTTTGCCATGTGTGTATCCTTAGTAATATGCTGTTTTGACTGTTAACTTTGAATAAGCCAGCTGCAGCCCAGACGCAGGACCACTGACTGCTGGTGGCGTGAGGAGCAGGAGTCTTCCTTTCCGGGCTGCCCCGGCGGGGTGCTGTGACCCTGCAGTCTTTCCCTCGTGGGGAGGGGGGCTCTGCTCCTCAGCACTGGGCAGCATAGGGAACAGCTCCGCATCCTGTGGTGAGGTCAGAGGTCACTGGGAGCCATATTCCTCGTGGGGACACAAGTTTTCTGAAGCTGTCGAGACACTTTTGTCTCTTCAGAGAAGAGGAGAGTGGTTCTGTCTGATTCTGTTTCAGTGCCGTCTGCGGGACATGACGTACTCTGCCCCCATCACCGTGGACATTGAGTACACCCGGGGCAGCCAGAGGATCATCCGCAATGCTCTACCCATTGGCAGGTGAGAAGCCAGGTCACAGGTCACGGTGCCTGCACTCCGCCCCTGAGGTGACCTTGAGGAGGCACTTCCGCTCCCTGTGCCCAGTTTCTTCATCTATAAAAGGCGGGTAGTGGCGCCTCCTTCCTCCGATGGTCGCTGGGTCCTCTGAGCTGCACGTGCAACTCACTGTCCAGTGTGACATTGGGGGATGGGGGTGGCGGGGGTAATTTTTAAAATGTGAAACCTTTTTTTTCCTAAAAATTAAGGAACATAATTCCATTTCCTCCTGTGACTCCAGGCTGCTAGAGCAGCATTAGGAAAATCGCATTTCACTGACTATCCAGGGCTGGTCTTCTTGGAGGTTTCATATATTTAAAATATGGGTTTTGCTGGAAGGGTGACTCTCCCCGTGTACCAGTATTTAATATTTAAGGGAGAAGTTACTTATTTGACAAGAATAAGCTTGGAAACAGTTCTAGCTGCTAGTTTTGTGGTCTTCTTTACCTAATTAGAGAAATAGATTGCCTCTCCTATAGAAGGGGAAAACTGACAATATTGTGGGTTTAATTATGGCATTGGCCTAAACCTACTCCTGGTTGCTTTTCCCCCTTAAAAGCGCTAAAGGCTTAGTAAACATCCATTTGTTCAACAAATAAGCAGGAATGCACCCCCCGGGGTGAAATGTAATATTTGCGGCACCTTTTCTGGCTGATGATAATTTGTATGTGGTTTTTTCTTTTGCTTTGCTTTACCCAGAATGCCCATAATGCTCCGCAGCTCCAACTGTGTGCTCACAGGGAAAACGCCCGCAGAATTTGCCAAACTGAACGAATGTCCATTAGACCCAGGTATGTGTGGTTTCTTGGATCTCTCCCTCTGCCTTTTTGTTTTCTCTTCAGTTTTTGTTTTGCCTTTGCTGTTGTTTTAGCATTTTTCCTCAAAAACATCAGCCTTTCGGCTAGCTTAGTACTTTTGTTCTAAACATTTGAAATTTGCCTCCAACTTTATTCTATTAGTCTCTATTTCTAGATGATGCCGTTTCCTCTTTTATGACAGGCTGCATACTTTAATACTGTAAGTTCTGGTTTATTACCATGACTTGCCAGTCTTTGTAACTTTGTTCAATTGTTTCTGAAGTTTAAAAAGTCAAGAATAATCCAACACAGTTTCTTGTCTTAACTGCTCTGAAAAGACTCAACTCACTTTGGGCAGTGGAGGGGCAAAAAGGGGAACTTTTTTTTAAAAATCACATTTTTGTACTTATTTTTGGGCTATTTTTTCCTAAAGTTTCACCCTTAACATTTAACAGAAAGTTTCTTATACTTCCTTCACTTATATTTCACATTGATTTAATTTAAAGTTGCTTTAATCTACTTCCTTTAAAGCTGCATTGATGTAGAGTTCCAAAAGATTTTGGAAAGAGATTAGCAAAAGACATGACTTTGTCAGGCTTGAACAAAATGTTTCATAAGCCAAATATGTTGCCTTGTTTTAACTTATATTGGGAAGGTAAAATGAAGCCTCATTTAATCCTATTCTGAGTTGTATGCAAAAAAGGATGGTATTGTTTGATGAGTTTTATTGAATATAGACTATTATTTTCAAAACCTAATCCTACACTGTCCCTGTCACTGATTTGTTAGAAAATTTAGAACAAGTTTTACTTCACATTGAATTTTTTGGTCTCTTCTGTGCTTGAGAAATTTGAAGTCTTAATTTCTTGAACATGTTTTTTTCATTCCCCTCCCCTATGTGTCAGGTCTGTACAAGCCCTGTCTCCAAGCAGTGGTTACCCATTTGCCGACAGTTATGTGATCACTCTGTTCCCAGTTCATATATCTGTTCAGGAAGCCCCTCCAGATGAATTGACAGACAGACCATGAAGCGGGGGGACCTGGTCTCTGATTCTGGAGATCACTACCAAAACCCACTGTATAAAGAATAGTCGGTGAAGCATTTCTTGTTTCCTCTGGACAGGTGGCTACTTCATTGTTAAAGGTGTAGAAAAAGTTATTCTTATCCAAGAGCAGCTGTCTAAGAACAGAATCATTGTGGAAGCCGACAGGAAAGGGGCAGTTGGTGCTTCAGTTACCAGGTATGCACATCATGGATGGGCTTGCTAAGAAATACCTTAACTCCATAAATATCCGCTGGGTGTCTTTTGGTACACAGTTTGCCAGTGGCTTCTCTCTTAACATGCGGGGTAGTTAAGCCACTATCATCAGTTTAAGTCTTTTAGAAGAGAGGACTGATGTAAAATTTTCAGTGATGAGCGTGATGCATTGTTTGAAAATCTACTTTTTTTTCCCCATAAAAGGTCATGAACATCCTCACACTTCCCTCAGATTAGGTCATGCAGAATCTTACTCCATCCTTTCCCAGCACCACGCCGGCCTCTGGCCCCCGGGCTTTCTTCATTCTGTTCTTGCATTTTGCTGTTTTCTGAAGGTCTTTTCCTTCTCCTGCAGGCTGTGTCTGGCAAGTCTGTGTCTGGATTCCTTTTGCTTTGCGTATCCAAGGGGTCATAGGTCACGCCAAGGCTGGTTGTCTAATTCAACCAAAATGGGTTCTGAGTCCAGATACAGAGAAGACAAGGGGTGGCCTTACACCTTTGAGCGGAGTTCCTCTGGCTTTCTGTCTAGGTTCTGGTGCCTTCCTGGGTGAAGGATATCATTGACCACTTGTTCAAAACAGTGGGTTGATCGTGACCTTCCTGGTCCTGTATAGTTACTGTGTAGATCATGATGGCGTGGATCTTCAGTTAGTTAGATCCACTAGTTGTTTTATTGAAGTTGAATTTTGTGTTAATTTATAAAATTAAAGGAACTTCAAAAGCGAAATTTAGGGCCCCTCCCTGGTGGTACAGCTGGTTAAAGCGCAGCACTATGAAGCTGTCGCAGCTACTGCAGCACGAGTTTGATCCCTGGCCAGGGAGCTGACCCACTTAGCACAGCAGACCTCTCCTGTCTCCCAGCTGCTCCCCTCAGCAGTGTATTTCAGTAGATTCCCTGTTCTGCTCCCCATTCTGTCTCTGGTGAATCCTCTTAACCCCTGCACCTCTGGCCTGCCCCAGTTCTGTATTCGTAAGCAAATAAATCTTTTTTATTTTGTTTTATTTTATTTTTATAATGTCTTTTTTTAAAAAAAGAAAGGTGAAATTTAAACCATGCAGTTTTTCATGTTCCTTTTCAGTCTTTCAGACCCATACGCCTTTACCACTGTAGTCAGGGGTCACTTTACACTTCAGCACTTCCTGAATTATGAGTGGATGTGGCATCTCATGTTGGTGCTCCTGGCCAGCCCCTCTTCCAGTGCACTCATTTTCCTGCTGTTCCATTCCTTTTATTATTCCCTTAACTTCCTTTTCACTGGCTTATTATCAGATGCAATTTGAAATTTGGAGGTTAACCAGTTCGGAGAATAAGAAATCTGTGCCATAGTTAAGACGTAGATAAGCATGAACCACTAGGGACCCTCCCTACATTATTTAATTCTCACTCCAGCCCTCTAAGTAACTGATATTCTCTCCAGTCCACAGCTGTAGGCTGAGTTCACATTGACGAGAAGAGGTGGTTGTTTAAAGCCACATTTAAACACAGGTCTTCCTGTAGGTACGTTTTATTGGATTATTAGTTGAGAAACTCAGACCAGAATTTCATTTCTTCATCTTTTTCTCATTATGGCATAGGCTTGTTTTGAGGTTTTCCTCTCAGATGTGTAAAATTGATCATGAATATGCAATTCAGATGGGATCAGAGTGAAATGGGTTAAGGTGAATGGGTGCTTGTGACTCACTTGCCCATGAAACTTTGACTCTAAAGTCAAAGCAAAAGAAGCATTTACATAGTTTTTACTTATGGAGGGGAGAAGTGGGGATAGTGAAAGAGGAGTTGTGAATCTTTAAAGCATGGTAGGACCTGACTGGTCGTCATGGGCCACTTGCACCTGGTTGATGCCGGATAACTGAGTGAGAATGCAGTTTAACTGACTCGTGCCTTCCCGTAGCTCTACCCACGAGAAAAAGAGCAGAACCAACATGGCGGTGAAACAGGGACGATTCTACCTGAGGCACAACACCTTGTCAGAGGACATACCCATTGTCATCATATTTAAGGTAAGCTGCAGGTGCCTGCTGAAAATTATAAAGAATTCTTCCTCCACTTATTTTCTTATATAATTTTTACTGTGGAACACAAGGAGTTCTAGGAATGGAAAGATCAGTGGTCGGGTCAGCTACCAGCTAATGGAGTTTTCAGATGAACACTGGTAAGACTGGGGTTCATACAGTTTTAAAAATCGAATCTATTTTCTTAACATATAAAATTCAAGATGTTGAAAGGGGCAGATAGTCAAGCGCTTATGTTTTTTAAGCACAGAAGAAAATTTGTCCTGCAGGCAGCACCCAGCCTGGAATTGTATCTAGCGAGGCGAACTTACATTGCCTGCAGGGGGCAGTGTGTTCCCGTGCATCCAAGGGCTTCTGTGGCTCAGCTGGAAGATCCCTCAAGATTGTTTTCCTGAGACCAGAAATTACAAATTAACTTTAATGCATAGCAACTTATGTCATTCCTGGAAAATACATAATTAGATGTGTGTGTGCATTATAATCGGAAAAAAAATTTAAATAACTTTTTCTCTGACTAGCTGACAAGAGGACGATAGTATATTCTTCTGTCCAATTTAATATTAATGTTGTAAATGTGTACATAGATAGCTGACTCACTTCCTGTTTAGAATGGGGCTCCAATTAATATACGAGTGTCACCTGTATTTGAGATTTCAAACTTCTTTTTGATTCTAAAGCAGCACCTTTGCCTGTGAACAATGAGAAAATTACTGGAAAATGTAACTGCATTTTTGGATTTGTTTAGGCCATTTTTCTTATACTTTTTAAATGCAAACATTGTTGTTTTTTCTTTCCTCGTTTAGTAATGAATTTTGACTAGCTTCCTCTGTCTAAGACATGAGTCACGTAGTTACTTTTTGTAGATAACGTGGGGTGCGGTTTATTATTATCGTTCTAGCCAGTTTGCAGTTGGACGGACACTAAGTCTTGGAGTCCACCCTGGGTGTCCTTACGCATGCATGTTCACACATGTGGCAGATTATTTTGTGACAGTAACTCCAGGAATGCAATTGTACCTTTTTAAAAAAAGTTGATGCCTGCTTTTTCCTTACCCACCAAGTTTTTTGCTCCCCAAAACATCATAGTCTATGTGGAATAAAATAAAAAGATTTAAAAGATTTTCAGTTGAGATAAATATATTGTTCACACATAGCCTTTGTTTGGTTGTTTTGGGATCCTGCTCGGTGGTGGGGAACTTGTTTGAGATCCACTGTTGGAATTTTTCCATTGAGACAGCATGGAGTATCAAATATGTGAGGCCTAGGTTGAGAGCCATTTTCGCCACTTACTAGCGATGTAACGTGGTGCGGATTTGCTCTTGGATAACATCTCTAAAGTGAAAATGTCACCTAAGAGCAAATGAGATCATGTATTTGAAAAGTAGACTGACGGGAAAGAGGATGCGGTTTCTCTTTCCTTAGTCCTCCTTATGCGTTGAAAGTCAGAAGCCCGGGAAAGAGAACTGCGTTACCAGAAAAGTCACATCATTTCTCTTTTTGTGTTGTGTGGCCCTAACACAGACCTTGACAGTCATTAGGACTTGATGGTTGTTACTTGTAACTAACAATTGGCTAAAAGTGACAGAGACAGCGGGGTTTCCAGATTCCACGCTGAGTTTGAATATGATGGATAAAGCTTTTAAGGACCTGGATCAGCCTTATTTATGGACTTGAATCACTACAAAGGTTCTCTCGCCCATGAATCTTCCCTGCCCTGCACTAGTCCCAAGCATTCAGCAGTTGCACTATGAGGGCATCTGTAGTCTGCATGTTTTTACAGAAAAGAGGATCAGCTTTCAAGGGTGCTGGGCATTGTTTAAACCTCCTTGTTTTTGATCTTTAAAGAAAAAAGCAACCAACATTAAAGAGGACCATCACGGTTCTTTTAATAGCTATCTGCCAGGACTGCTTTTACTAACAGTAGGTTGACTTATGTGTACTCTGAAGGAAGCTTAGAGATTTCTGAACATTTTAGGGACTTAGCTCCTGCCCCTCCTTCACATAAGGAATGTCACCATCCCGCCATTCACATCTCTATCAGTTTCTTCTGCTCATTGGCATTCTTCTTTCTGCCTTTAGAAGTCATACTTCTTTTCACACTTAGTGGCTATCCACGAAGACAGCATGCCCCTTTTTAAAGAGCACCTGCCCTTATTCCTCCGTCTTGGTGCTGAGTGCCCCACTGTGGGCGACCTCTGCTGATGGTATTATTTCTGCTTTTTCCTACAGTTACTGTAGAACCCTCACCTTAGTTAGCCAAAATGATTTCCGATGTCTGGAGCACAAAGAGTTTCATATAAAGCTAGTTTTCCAATGTCTAAATTATGTCTGTAAAGCAAAAATGGTTGGGCATGTTGCTGTCGTTTCCATAGCAATATGTCATTTACTTGTAGCTGTGACTTCCAAGAGCTAAATGGTTATAAAGTCTGTTCAGTCTTGGGAGCTGGAGCACTTGCAGTGATAACCTGATTGAGTTATCACCCAGATTTTGGTGACCTGGCAGAGTAAGAGGTTAGCCCTTTCAGAGCAAAGCTTTGCTACTGGTCTTCTTCCTGCACACAGGTGTCATTTACTACGTGCTTGGCATGCCTTTGCGTCATAGCTCAGAAATATATGGAGGACTAAGTGGTCTATTTAGGTCCTTACTAGGCACTTGAAAACTTTATGCATATATAAAGTTGGCCTAGATTCAACGTCAGGACAACTTGAAATCGCAATCTATATGTTCAGTGAGGAAAGATTTTTTTCATGATCATTGAACACCAAAATAGGCCATCAAGTGTAAAGGTTTTGCTACTTGGACATCCCTGAATTGCAGAGTAATAATTGAAATAATCTTGGAGCTGACCCTGAAAGCTACTGCCATTTCACTGCTAGGGTTCTGTAGGTGGTTGTTTAAAGCCACATTTAAACACAGGTCTTCCTGTAGGTACGTTTTATTGGATTATTAGTTGAGAAACTCAGACCAGAATTTCATTTCTTCATCTTTTTCTCATTATGGCATAGGCTTGTTTTGAGGTTTTCCTCTCAGATGTGTAAAATTGATCATGAATATGCAATTCAGATGGGATCAGAGTGAAATGGGTTAAGGTGAATGGGTGCTTGTGACTCACTTGCCCATGAAACTTTGACTCTAAAGTCAAAGCAAAAGAAGCATTTACATAGTTTTTACTTATGGAGGGGAGAAGTGGGGATAGTGAAAGAGGAGTTGTGAATCTTTAAAGCATGGTAGGACCTGACTGGTCGTCATGGGCCACTTGCACCTGGTTGATGCCGGATAACTGAGTGAGAATGCAGTTTAACTGACTCGTGCCTTCCCGTAGCTCTACCCACGAGAAAAAGAGCAGAACCAACATGGCGGTGAAACAGGGACGATTCTACCTGAGGCACAACACCTTGTCAGAGGACATACCCATTGTCATCATATTTAAGGTAAGCTGCAGGTGCCTGCTGAAAATTATAAAGAATTCTTCCTCCACTTATTTTCTTATATAATTTTTACTGTGGAACACAAGGAGTTCTAGGAATGGAAAGATCAGTGGTCGGGTCAGCTACCAGCTAATGGAGTTTTCAGATGAACACTGGTAAGACTGGGGTTCATACAGTTTTAAAAATCGAATCTATTTTCTTAACATATAAAATTCAAGATGTTGAAAGGGGCAGATAGTCAAGCGCTTATGTTTTTTAAGCACAGAAGAAAATTTGTCCTGCAGGCAGCACCCAGCCTGGAATTGTATCTAGCGAGGCGAACTTACATTGCCTGCAGGGGGCAGTGTGTTCCCGTGCATCCAAGGGCTTCTGTGGCTCAGCTGGAAGATCCCTCAAGATTGTTTTCCTGAGACCAGAAATTACAAATTAACTTTAATGCATAGCAACTTATGTCATTCCTGGAAAATACATAATTAGATGTGTGTGTGCATTATAATCGGAAAAAAAATTTAAATAACTTTTTCTCTGACTAGCTGACAAGAGGACGATAGTATATTCTTCTGT